CCATACGATAAGAGAGGTACTAGGGGGTGTAGGAAGGATTTGATTTTGATCAATTCGGTCTCGTGTGCTGTTTAGGGATATGAGGGTGGTTATCACTTCCCGGCTGCCCACACCGTGGAAGGTTGTTTCTTGAGGGACCTGAAAAAGAAGATAGATTAGTGTTGGTCTTAGAGACCTGAGAGCGTGACCGCAGAGCCCAAGGGACAACTGCTTGAGGCCGGTCACGCACGGTCACTTTATGAAACGTTCTTTGAGGATTAGCTCCGTTCTTAAAGGCCCTTAGTGGGCACCCTTACCCAAGGAGACGGAAATCCGTGAAGTAGGGGAGGTGTGACATTTTTAAGGCCGACCTTTTCTAACCCTTCCTTCCTTGTGAGAAGGCAGTATCACTGCAGATGCTGGTTGTCCGAGGGAAACACCTTACTGCTGTCACACCTCTCTGCAGTCAGAAGTACGACTTCACCCTCAGACCTTGAGTAGCTGCTTTTAGTCTCATCGCTCTCCAATCGACCAGCCTGACATGGTATAACCTGCAGGAACATATGTTCCAGCCAGTATAGCTCGGTTGGGTCATCACGATAGGCAAGCCCGACCACCACGTCAAGGTAGCAGCTATGGTCGAGATTTGAATGTAATATTTCCTATTTAAGCTATCTTTGAGTGATTTTTTAAATCATAAGGACATTAGTTTGTTTTTGTAAAATAACTCTAGTGTTGCTAAAACAATTGACAAGACTTTGAGCGTTGGTATTATTGACATGTCAGTAGCTTTTACACGAATTATCGTTAGACCACACCATTAGAAACCTGGAAGCTCTGAAAGATAGCTGTTTCGTCCTGGTACGGGACTCATCAGTGATAGTGCACATCCATGACTCCTGCTACTCGCAGGATTCGAACCCAGGACTGTCGATCTTACGCGCCAACGCCTAACTTCTGGACCACTACTCTGATCAATTTAGGGACCAGCGGAAGTTGACTCTGTCGGATGTAGGCAGTAACTATCGAAGACAGATAGGTAAGGTCGTGCGAAATCCCTAGATTGATCGGAATTAAACAATAACACCGTTGGATCCCATCCCAGTAGTTTAGAGATTAGGAATGCGCATGTTAGACCAAAGGTCCTGGGTTCGAATCCTGCCGGTGCCCGTAGTCATAGATAAATGCTGCTGATGAGTCCCATACCAAGACGAAATGGCCATTCAGTGCTTCCAGGTTTCTAATGTGTTGTCCACCAATGATCCATTCATGATTTAAAGACATTTGTTCAACTTCGATTTTGGAATCGACACTAATACATGTATAATATCGATATTAGAATATGACTTACTATTTAGAAGTACATGTGTAAATGTTGATTTGATTCGAATGCGTACATACATACTTACCAACTATGTAGTCTCAATACGTTCACGGATATCAACGAGTATACATATACTTACGTTGCTATTGTTTGTTCAAGGTCAACCTCGGTATTTCAATGTTCTGGTAGTATTACCATTGACAAGTATGCTGTTACGGGTGTGAGGGCGGTTGTCACTTCCCGACTGCCCACACCTTGGAAGGTTGGTTCTTGAGGAACATGAAAATGAAGGTATATTAGCGTTGGTCTTAGAGACCTAGGTGCGTGACCGCAAAGCCCAAGGGACAACTGCATGGGGCCGGTCATGCACGGCCTTTTTACAGAAGGTTGTTTGAGTATTAGCTCCGCTCTTAAAGGCCCTTAGTGGGCATCGTTACCGACGGAGACGGAATTCCGTGAGATAGGATGAGGTGTGATATTTTTAGGGTCAACCTTTTCTAACCCTTTCTTCCTTGTGAGAAGGCAGTAGCATCGCTGCAGATGCTGGTTGTCCGAGGGAAACACCTTACTGCTGTCACACCCCTCCATCACAGTCAGCAGTACGACTTCACCCTCAGACCTTGGGTAGCTGCTTTTAGTCTGATCGTTCTGCAGTTAAGTTACACATTTTTTTGAAACCATGAATCGATCAATGTTAGACCACCATTAGAAACCTGGAAGCACTGAAAGACAGCTGTTTCGTCCTGGTATGGTATTCCTCAGTAACTCTGTGGATCGATCAAGTTAGACATTAACACCGTTAGATACCGGCTCAGTGGTCGGATGACTAGGCGTTCACCTACAATACTGTAAGTCCTGGGTCCGAATCCTGTGGGGTGCAGGAGTCGTGGATGCGCACTGCCACTGATGAGTCCCATACCAGGACGAAACCGTCGTCTTTCAGTGCTTCCAGGTTCCTAATGATGTAGTCTAACATTGATCGATTCATGATTTGAAAAATGTGTAACTTAACAACAATCTACACAACCCCGTAATGCATCTCGTTTATGTATATCTGTCTTTCACTTGTTATTTCCATTTTATACATTGTAGGTGTGCTTTCTGGTGATTTATATCTACATAATGATCAACGAATTTTCTTTATTTACTTACATTATTTGTATTTTTTTTCCCTGCTCATCAAATGATGTTTTTTTTATACGAGGTGACCGCGGAGAGAAGTGAATAATTTTTTTAAAAATCATAAACAACATGTATGTGTGTATGTGTGTACAGTTTTATTGATTCATTGAGAAAATAATCAAGTTGACTAATTTTCTTCACTTTTTTTTTCTATGCTTTAATTTATTCAAATGATAAATGTTTTTTGTGTGTTTTGTCTCTCTATGATAAAACTGTCAAATTTAGAGTAGTAAGCAATCAAAGTTTTAGCAGCTTACGAAGCATGTTTATGGTTCTTGTGTAGTATCTTACTTACTTACTTCGCTGTGCAGATAAGAGAGAGTTATTATAGAAGGTGTAGGAAGGATTTGATTGTGACCGATTTGGTGTCGTCTGCTTTTACGAGTAGGAGGAGGTCGGTTGTGTCAATCACTTTCCGGCTGCCTACATTGTAGAAATCTCAGCGATGATAAAGAAGGTTTGATTGGCTTTTGATAAAAATTGCGTCATTTATGGCGTAGGTGAGATATCCGTTTGCTATCTTAAGGAAAAATCGACTATGCGAAAATTCGTTCCGTCCTACTTTATGGCTGCGAAACATCAAAGTAAAATATATTCGTAGGTTGCTTGCTGGTTTTCGATCACATATGTCTTATTAGAAGGATTGCTCGTGTATCATGGGACAACTACTGAGTAAGCAATGCAGTTGTTAGGAAACAGGTGACATGTGTTACGTATGCCTAACCACCGACTGCTTCGTCGAGCTATATTTTGTGATGTAGGAATAGGTAGGAGGAAAGCTAGGGACAGCCAGACTAAAGCATGATAGAAATCCATGAAGTCGCTGACAAATGGACTGAGTCATGTTGGTAGATGTAGACTACCTGGTTGTGGTCCGCGAGACAAGATAATAATCAATGGTTAGAGACCCTGAATGACATGGTTTAAAACCGTATGCAATGGCACAGAAGAATTCATTCTTTGTGTTCTCTCAAATCCTAAACTTGAAGATGGAGATGTAAGGAGCTTCTTGAAGGAGTTCGAATCCGCGGTGGAGCTGGTAGGAATCAAGGAGCAGAGGGCGAGGGTGGTGGTGTTGGGGACTCTACTAAGAGGCAGGGCGAGAGCGGTGTACGATGGTGTGGAGGACGCTGACGGAAAGGCTGCTGGTGGAGTTCGACAGCCCGGCGGATAGGCAGGACGCACTGCAGAAGTTCCGAGAGGCGAGATTGACGGTGGATGGCGACCCACTCGTACTGGATGTGGAGTTGACAAAATTGCTGCGCCGGGGTCTGCCGAATCTGTACGAGGAGTCGCAAGCATAGCTGCTAGCGTCGCAATTCATTGAAAGTGTGCCTGCAGAGGTTGCCCAACAGTTGAGACTGGTGAACGCCGCACAACCAATTGACGTCACCGAGCTGGCAAAAGTAACGAGACAGCTGATGAACCCAACAGTCGCCTCAGTGGCGTTTGAGAGACAGGCGGATGATGTCGCAAAGAAGATAGAAGAGTTACAACGCGAGGTGGCAGCGTTACGAATAAAGGGTGGAAGAAATAATAATAAATGCTATATTTGCGGAGGAACCAGGCATTGGAAGAGGAATTGCCCAACAAGACGAAAACGTAAACATTTTAGACCATATGCATGGCGTTGTTTATCTCCTGTGAAACTGGGGGTCGCGGCAGTAGTAGATAGGGGGGCGGTCAATGCGAGAGTAGGGATAGACGAGCGAGAGGTAGTGTGCCTGATTGATACAGGGGCGGCAGTTTCGTTAATAGACAAAGAGCGGTGTAGAGGTATCAGGCCGAGTGCATTAGTTGTTAACACCATCGGCGGCCACGTGTTAAAAATCCTAGGAGTCTCAAATGATATAGTGAAAATCGGCAACTCGGAAATACAGTTTCCCTTTGTGGTAACTACGAAGTTGTCGAGACCAATACTAGGAGCAGATTTCTTGAGAGAAGTAGGAGCAATTATTGATACAAGAAGTAAGAAGGTGATTACAAAGTACGGCACACTGACAATACATGAAAGCAGCGAGGTGGCTGAAGTTAGAGTAGCAAAAGAGGACAATGAAAAGAAACAGAACATTAACGAGGTTCACGGGAGACGGAGAACCGTACGGATTTTGTAATGAAGTTAAATATGATATTCAGATTAAGAACGAAGAAGTAACCATCTTCACAACACGACGGGTTCCCGTACATTTGGAAGCTGAGATAAACCAGCAGGTACAGGAGATGTTAAAAGCAGGTATAATTGAAGAAGCAGATAGCCCGTACAGCTCACCGGTTATTTTGGTAAAGAAGCCAAATGGAAAGTATAGATTCTGTGTTGACTTTAGAGAACTGAATAACGTGACAGAAATAAAACCATGTGCAATGCCAACAATAGCGGAGACATTAGATTATCTACAGAGTGCTACGGTGTTCACAGTGTTAGATTTACGGTCGGGCTATTGGCAGCTACCAATAAAAAACAGTGATCGCAGCAAAACGGCATTTACCGTACGGGAGAAGCATGCTGACACACACATAATAATAATAATGTCATACATTTATTAAGCGTAATCATAAAAAAAAACTAAAGACTTCTTTTTTTTATAAAAATAAAAATATTTGTTTTATTTATTTATTTTCAAAATTGTCATGTTCGTTAACGTGTCCGCTTGGCTCGTTTCAATCGCATTTTACGATTCATCTGAAGTGTACGCGTACGACGATTGTAGAACCAAACTTTGATTACTGTTTTGTCAACATTGAATTTATTGGCTAATTCTTTAAAGTCATATCTGGTTATTTGTTGATTCTGGTTATAAAACAAGAGGAGAGAGATAAAAAAGGAAATCAATATATATACATATATATCATAATTTTATAGATGTAATGGGATAGGGGTAGGTTGTGAAAGAGAGCTACTAGGGTCGGCCAGACAGACACAGATACAATGCCGAACTTCGTACGTACGGTTAGGCATACGCAAGTTTAACTACTTCATCTACTGATCTGCGATCCTTACCTAGTACCCGTTTCCTAATAACAACATCGCTTACTCGGTTGTCTTAGGATACACGAGCAATACTTCGAAGACATCTATGATTGAATACTAATAACTGACGAATATCCTCAACTCTTACTGGCTATGTTGCATAGATATATGGTAGGACGGGACGAACTGCTGCTCAGCGGACTTGTCCTTTGGTTGATAGACGCATATCTCGCCTACGCCATAAGTGACGCAGGTTGGCAAAAGCCAGACAGATACAACGCAGAACTTTGTACGTAAGTACATCAGTTCAGATTGCCATACCACATCATTACACAGATGCAACTGTCAGTTCAAATTCAAGAGTGATAGCAACAACAGAAGTATTAGCAGCAGTAATGGAGGAGATTAGGAAGCGAAGATATGATTCGAAAAGTATATAATTCAGTAAGATAAATTTAGAAGGAGAAAGGTAGAGATTATGAGAAATTCAGAAGGTTAGGATTAGAGAGAACACAAACAGTGGATACACCTGCCCCATTGAAAACGATTCTGAGTCATGTCGTTCAAGGTCTCTAACCATCGGTGACTATCGTCTCGCGGACCCCAACCAAGTAGTCTACATTTACCAACATGACTCAGTCCACCTGTTAGTGACTTCATGGATTTGTGCCATGTTTTAGGGTCGGCCAGACCAAAACATGAAATGTTTATGAAATGTTTTTTGAGGATTAGCTCCGTCCTTAAAGGCCCTTGGTGGGCACCCTTATCGACGGAGGCGGAAATCCGTGAGGCTGCCTTCCTTGTGAGAAGGCAGCATCGCTGCAGATGAGATTTAAAATTGACGATTGCATCTCTGTGTGTGGTAATGTGTGGCATGGCAACTTGAACTGATATGTGTACGTGCATACGAAGTCCTATATATTTCTAATTGACTGACTCACTGACTAAACTAATGATAGATTATCTATCTATTTGAAGAGAAAATAGCACTTTGACAACTGAGATTGTGTTGATAAAGGTGACAAAGTTCAATGAACTGTGATAAATTGTTCAGTTTCAATAGTCGAAGATCCGTACAAGTGTACAATACTTTCAGTATTAATATGACCAGTTTTATCTATTGCGTTAATCGATAACAACGACGACAAATGACATATATCGCTTGTTCGCTAACTAACACACAAGATGGATTGTGAGGAAATTTAATATTCGAAACAGAACAAGACGAAGTAGTACTGTGGTGCGCGCTACTTATAAGTAGTATATGACGCGAGTAAAAACGTAATGTATGGCAGCAGAAGATGGGAGAAGATCAAGAAAGGAAGAGTGGGAACACAATGGAATTTGTATGAAACGCATGAATAGTGAAATATCAGACAATGGATTGAAGATTTGCAAATGAACGGTTACGATATGGTTTTCCTATTTTACTGAGTAACTCTGTAATTTTCGTTAAATACAATTCGGCTGCCCCCACCTGTGTTCTCCTTCACTACAGTACTATAACAACCCGAAGATGACCTTCAAGCACGCCGATTGCAAGCGATCGAGCTATCGGGAAAAGGATACAGGTCACAACACATAAAACTGAATTAGGAAAAAAAAGCCGTTGGTTGCTGTTATCGTCTCTAGTAAGATGTTATCATCGGTAACAAACGTTGAGTAATCATCTTGCGACTATCTTAACAGATAACAATTATCAGTTCAAAGATTTCATACAGTTATTTTTGCTTAGAACAGGCGTGTATTTACTTAAGTTTCTTCACCATGTACATTATTAACACGGCTTTCCAAGAATAAAATAAAAATCAGAGATTAATCCAAAAATTTAGACGCCTCATCTTGCTCCACATGGGTTTATAAAACCGATGATAAAGTTTAAAAAGTACGGAATTAGTTAGTACATTACAAACTACTGAGCGAAGATGATGTGCTTGCTACAAGCCTCACGCTCTTCAGTCGACGAATCACTGTTATACCTATTTTCGGGAGGAAATATCCTTTCAGGGTACACGAAGAGTAAATCGAGCTGCCTCTTTATTTTGACAAGGTGAAATCAGATTAATAATTTTACTAGGATCCTGTATACACGTTTCCGAGACGCAGCATACATCGATGGCACAAGATTCTAGAGTCCTAGCTAATGATGCCTGTTGCCCTATTTGACACAATGTCGGTACATTAAATGCTCCAACATGTAGACTAGAACGAAGTTTCAAGAAACCAGGAATGACGTTTCGTGAACTCGCATCGTTTGCATTAGCGGTGCAGTCAGATAAGGGAATGTGAGTAGAGTTAGTTGTGGAGAGAAGAGAGGTATGTGTGTGTGTAGGAAGGATTTGATTTCGACCAATTTGGTCTCGTGTGCTGTTACAGGTATGAGGGCGGTTGTCACCTCCCGGCTGCCCACACCGTGGAAGGTTATTTCTTGAGCGACCTGAAAAGGAAGATAGATTAGTGTTGGTCTTGAAGACCTGGAAGCGTGACCGCAGAGTCCAAGGGACAAGTGCTTGAGGCCGGTCACGCACGGCCGCTTTATGAAATGTTTTTTGAGGATTAGCTCCGTCCTTAAAGGCCCTTGGTGGGCACCCTTATCGACGGAGGCGGAAATCCGTGAGGCTGCCTTCCTTGTGAGAAGGCAGCATCGCTGCAGATGCTGGTTGTCCGAGGGAAACACCTTACTGCTGTCACACCCCTCTACAATCAACAGCACGAGTTCGCCATCAGACCTTGAGTAGCTGCTTTTAGTCTCATCGTTCTTCAATCGACCAGCCTGGCATGGTAGGACCTGCAGGAACATATGTTCTAGCCAGTATAGCTCGGTTGGGTCATCACGATAGGCAAGCCCGACCACCACGTCAAGGTAGCAGCTACGGTCGGGATGAACTGATGTGCATTTATTCTTTGTGTTCTCTCAAATCCTAATCTTCTAGATTCTTCAACACCTCTAGTTTTGACTTTCTAAACTTTTCTCACTGAATCATACTTCTTGAATAATATCTTCTAATCCTTACCTCTTCGATTACTTCTAATACCTTTACTAAATCTTCTACTATTGGATTTGAATTGATAATTACATCTCTGTGCTGATGTGGTATGGCGACATGAACTGATGTACTTACGTACGAAGTTCTACGTTGCATCTAACTGACTGACTGATCATTTCAAGGTTGTAGACAATTATAAATTAGGAATTGCGAACAAAACGACCTTAAGTCCATTTTTTCTGTCACAATTAAAGCTATTACTTAATGTAACAAATAGAACCACAGAGTGTATTATTGGTCTATGCCTATAATTTCATCCGAATTAAGATCTGTCTGATTAGACAAGGTTGATCTCTGAAAAAATAAAAAAAATTCGAGATATCTAGTTCAAATAAATATACCAGCCGATCAATTAAAATTGTGACAGAGAAAAGAATTAACAATTAAGTGTAAACAACTAACTTGTCTATAGATTCGTTCCAGTTCTCTTCGTATAGAATTAGGTATTATTGTTCTTGGTCGTCGTTTTGTGAATTTTGAGAAAGTAGGATTTTCAGGCTATAGAACAAAAAAAACCAAGTTACGCAAACACGTAAATATGTCAAATCGGTATGCTTGAAACTATTACAAGTTTTTTCAGGCAGAGATTTAGGGGGTTTATGTTTTTACACATTTGAAATCATCAATCAATCATTATTACTAGACCACCATTAGAAACTTGGAAGACGGCTGTTTCGTCCTGGTATAGTACTCGTCAGCAGTGCCCATCCACGACTCCCGCACCCCGCAGGATTCGAACCCGGGACCTTCGGTATTGTGCGCGAACACTTAACCATCGGACCACTGGGTCGGCATCCAGCGGTGTTAATGTCTAACTCTGATCAATCTAGGGATTTTGCGCGACCTCACCCACTTGTCTTTGATAATTACTGCCTACACTAGACAGGGTTGAACTCCATCGGTCACGTCTTCTCAACTACCACAAGTTTTCAGGCAGAGCTTTGGAGGTTTGTGTTTTTACACATTTGAAATCATTAATCAATCATTGTTAGACCACCATTATAAACCTGGAAGCACTGGACGGCCGTTTAGTCCTGGTATGGGACTTATAACCTTAGTCAGAAAATGAGAGCGAGGACCCGGCGACACGACAGGCTACTCTAATCCGACTGTCCCAAAACCCCTATTGAGTAAAAGAAGAAGACTTGATATGAAGTAGAACATGTATTCTACAAGCATCCAGAAAGTATGAGGTCCGAGTCCAGAATCCCGGACTAAGAATCCGGATCATAAAACGTAACAGATAATGAAGAAGTGATAATTTTATTTTTGTCAATAGAAGAATTTACAGCTAATATATTGTTAGTTATTTTCAGAACTAATTGTAGTTATGTCATAACTAACCAATCAAATTGTGGTTTAAGGGCCCACCACGTGATCTGATTTGATGTGTCTGTAAATCTTCTTTGTTGTAAATGACCTACAAACTGATTGACATTATTTGCTTTAAAGTTGATCTTCTAACTAAAGCTTTCCCACAGACTCTGTGCTCACCAATATTGCGTTTATAGTTCTAGAAGTTCATCTGTAGGACAAATTAAATCCTACATGTATTTGCCAAAATCTGCAATCACAATTGGTTGTCTTGATGAAAACAAGTGGAATTCTTACATTTTTTTGTAAAATGATGGCAATATTCAAAATTAGTATAACCTTGAAATTATGAATTGATCAACGGTAGACTAGCAGCATTAGAAGAAACCTGAAATCACTTACTGGATGGGCTGTTTCGTCCTAGTATGGAACTTGTCACGTGACTCAGTGATCCAGAGGTTAAGCGCATTCGCACACAAGACTGAAAGTCCTAATATTCAAATCCTACGAATAGTAGAAGGAGTCATAGATGTGCACTGCCACTGATGAGTCCTATACAAGGACGAAACGGCCGTCTTCTAGTGCTGTTGGGTTTATAATGATGGTCTCAGTTAGTCAGTCAGTTGCAACGTAAGAACTTCGTACGTATGTACATAAGTTCATGTTGCCATACCACATTAGCATAGAGACGCAAATATCAAATCAAATCCCATAGTGATAAATATAGTAGAGGTATTAATGGTAATGAAGAAGACTAGGGTTTGAAGATATTATTTAAGAAGTATGATTCAGTGAGAAAAGTTTAGAAAGTCAAAACTAGAGATGTTGAAGAATCCAGAAGATTAGGACTTGAGAGAGCTCAAAGAATGGATGCACTTGCGCCATCGCAAACGATTTTGAGCCATGATGTCGTTCAAGGTCTCTAACCATTGGTGACTTTCGTCTTTCGGTGGGGTCATCACACGATAGGCAAACCCAACAACCACCACCACATCAAGTTAACAAGCTACGGTCGGGCAAAGTCTCAGTACTTCATCTACTTCTTCACCTGTCATCCTTACCAAAGAACAAATACTTCATTTGGTGTCGCTGCCTGCTTGAAGGAAGGAGCTCCCGTGACCGAAGGAGTTGCAGGACGGAGATTTGCGGAGCTTCCTAGAGGAGTTTGAGGCCACAGTGAAGCTGGTGGGGGCCCGGGGTGGAGTTGACGGTGCTGGGAACGCTGCGGGGAGGTGAGGCAAAGGCGGTATACGACAGCCTGGACGGTGCCGCCGGGAAGACGGCGTGGGAGACGGTCACCGGGCGGCTGATGACGGAGTTCGACAGCCCAGTGGACAGGAAGGAGGCGCCACAGAGGTTCCGGTTGGCGCGGCAGTCGGCTGATGGTGACCTGTTGGTGCTTGCTGTGGAGCTCACCAGATTGTTGCGCCGTGAGGAGTGGGGGGCGCAGCTGTTGGCGTCGCGATTATTCGAGAGTGTACCTGCCGCCGTGTCCCAGCATCGGGAACTAGTAAACGCTACACGTTGGATAAATGCCGTATCCATTCCAGACCAGAGCGCAAGAACAAAGACCGAAGTGGTAGTCCGGCATATTGTAGCGTGTCGCGGAATACGGAAGGTAATATTAACTGACCAGGGTCCCTGTTTTGAAAGACTACTACGACAGCTTATTAAAAGGGGGGACGACTATACAACCACCATTTGAAAGTGACAAAAATGACGAATTCATGAAAACACAACAACAACTATAATATATATATATATATATATATATATATATATATATATATATATCGAATTACCTGAGGAGAATGTTGTTTTATTAAAGATTCTATATCATCATTATCAGTAGTATCGTCATCAGCAGCAGTAGTATCAGCAAGAGCATCAGCATTATCATTTTCATTACTACAACTTTGTGAATTAACCACAGATCGAATAATTTTATCACGACCATCAGCAGTTGCACTATCTTTTAACCATTTTAATATAATTGGATAAACTTTTAAATAATTGCTTAAACTAAGATCCATTCGTTCAAAACGTGAAATCAACGAAACACTACGATGTACACCATAGAGTTTTCCAAGTGAATTTATGACATCAGCTTGAGAAAGATCTGAAATGGACATATATATATACATATGTACATGTGTATGTTGATAGAATCTTACTTACTTACTTACTTACGCCTGTCACCCTCAGTGGAGCATAGGCCGCCCACCAGTTTTCTCCAACCAACTCTGTCCTGGGCATCCCTTTCCAATTCTGTCCAATGCTTGTTCATTCTTGTCATGTCTTTCTCTATTTCTCGGCGTAATGTGTTCCTTGGCCTTCCTCTTTTCCTTTTGCCTTGAGGGTTCCCATGTGAGTGCTTGTCTCGTGATGCAGTTAGGTGCTTTTCGTAATGTGTGTCCTATCCACTTTCACCGCTTCGTCCCGATTTCCTCATCCACTGGAATCTGGTTTGTTCTCTCCCACAGTAGGTTGTTGCTGATAGTGTCCAGCCAACGAATCCGAAGTATTTTGCGTAGACAACTGTTCATAAATACCTGTATCTTCTGAAAGATGGCTTCTGTAGTTCTCCAAGTTTCCGCTTCATACAGTAGAACTGTCTTGACATTTGTATTGAAAATCCTGATTTTGCTGTTGATTGATATTCGTTTGGAGTTCTAGATATTTTCAATTGTAGAAATGCAGCTCTTGCTTAACCGGTCCACGCCCTCACATCTGCATCGGATCCACCTTGGTTGTCGATGATGCTGCCAAGATATGTAAAGGTGTTAACGTCCTCCAAAGAATCTGCATCAGGAGTGATTTGGTTGGCGGATGTTGTGTTGTATCGCGAAATCTTGGTGTCTGTCAACATATGCATTAATGTCAGCTGCTGCTCAAGTAATAATTCAAGTTTAGAAGGGTCCATGTTTCAAAAACCACCGTCGCCAATTGATATGCTTGAATAGTATTACATGTTTACCTTACTCGCGGTAAACGGAACGAAGATCAATGATGCAGTAAAACGATAGGCTATACTAATCCGATCGTCCCAAGCTCCGCTAACTAGAAGATGAAGTCTTGATAAGATGTAAAAAGAATCTAATCACAGACATCCAGAAAATACGATGTCGACAAGTATACAATTTAAGCTTATTCATACAATCGATAAAACGCTCATGGTGAGAGTCACAAAATAGTGTACTAAACTAACCAATCCATCAACCAATGACAGTCGAGGACTTCCCGAGTGAGAAATACAAGCTGAAGGTCAAAATGAGTGTCCTTGGCCGGGAAAACATAAGAAATTAAAAATTTCAGAATAAAATTACAAAATTAGGGTCTCTTCCAAGTGAGTTCTGGGGATTTAACGTTCATCATAAGTCGATAGACAATGGCTTCCATACTAAGTGACATTAAAGTATTTTCTAACTTTAGAACGTCATTACATGGAAATTTTATCATAATAAAGCATTACTTAATTATTGAAACCATAAATAAAGTTGAATATTAATGATAGATTGTTAGGATATTCATCCAATATCCAAAGAGAATTATTTTTGTAAGTCTAATTCTATTGGTCAATTCCTATTGGTCGTTCTAGCAAATATCAATGTCATATGCTTCAAATATTGTTTCCTATTGGTCGTTCTAACAACTATCAACGTCACATGCTTCAAATGTTGTTTCCTATTGGTCGACCTAACTATCTATGTTCCGTGCTTCAAATGTTATTTCCTATTGGTCGTCCTAACTATCAATGTCACATGCTTCAAATGTTGTTTCCTATTGGTCGTTCTAACTGTATAAATGTGCATTATGACCCAGATCATTAGCCTCTTCTGGACTTGAACCTCGTACTTTCTGAATGCTTGTAGAATACACACTCTACTTCATGCCAAGTTTTCTCTTATTAAATGGGGTTTTGCAACGCCCCGATTAGATAATAACCTATCGTGTCACTGGATCATTGTCTTATCTTTCATCTACCGACTAAGGTGAACATCATCCCAATTAAAGAAACTTACTCATTGCAATTCTTCTATTTGTAAATATAACTGAGAGTTTTTCTAATTCAGTTAAATCAATTAATCGATTTTTCAAATTGACAATATCGTTGTTATTATTATTATCATCAGTTTGATGAAGAGTTTCTTTGGAATCTTCTTCTTCTTCTTCTTTCTCATTATAACTACTAGTTTCATCATTGCATTCACGATATGAATTGACTTTTCTACGAGGCTAAAATAGAAAAAAAAAGAAGCCTGATTGCATAACTTGCTTATTTCGATTACTGGAAATTGTAATACTGTGCCTTATATGGTCGGTCAGTTAGCAACAACGTAGAACTTCGTACGTATGTACTACGTAATTACATCAGCTCAAGTTACCATAACCACATTAGCACACAGAAATGCAACTGTCAATTCACATACCATAGTGGTCAAGATAGTTAGAAGTATTGTTACGCATGCATGTAAACATGTCATTTTGATATACTTGAATTATTATTACGAGTTCGCCGTAGTCGGAATACAAGAGCGGGCATCCAGGATCCGGCGATACCATATGCTACTCGAATCCGATTATCCCAACCCTCATTAAATAAAGAAAGAAGAGTTGATATGAAGTAGAACCTGTATTCTACAAGCATTCAGAAAGTACGAAGTCCGAGTCCAGAAGAGGCTAAGGATCCCGGACTAGGAATCCGGGAACGGGTCCGGGTCATAAAACGTTATAGATAATGCATATTTATACATTTAGCTTGAATAGGAAACAGCTTCGAATTTTGTGACATTGAAAGTTAAGAAGACCAATAGGAAGCAACATTGGAGCACGTGACATTGATATCTAGGACGACTTTAAAATTGACCAGTAGGAATTAACCAATAGGTATTGACCAATAATTCTCTTAGGATATTGGATGAATATCCTAACAAGTATGAGTAGTAATCGGCAAGACTAGGGTTCGAAGAAATTATTCAATAAGTATAATTCAGTGAAATAAATTTAAAAAGAGAGAAATAACGGTCAAGAGAAATTTAGAAGACTAGAATTTCAGAGAACACAGAGTGAATGCACCTGTACCATTGCAAACAATTTTGAGCCATATCATTCAAGGTCTCTAACTATCGGTTACTATTGTCTTGCGTAGCTCAACCAGTTAGTCTACAGCTGTTAAAATAGATTAGACCAGATGTCAGTGACTTCATGGGTTTGTTTGGCTGCTCGTAGCTTTCTTCCAGCCTTTCCCTATATCAAACAACATTGCCTGAGATGGATAAACTATGAATACCGAATTTGTTATTTTGACAGTTATATATTTCACTAAACAATAATTTTATGTACTTATAACTAGAAACATAATACTTACAATCATACATTTATTTAGTAAATCAATTGTATTTACACGATGCAATCAAGTTCTAATCGTACACACATACAAGCTGTTGACGGTCTTTATAATCCCGCTGACCACCAAGAGAAAGAGTAAAGCAACATTGTCTGACATCGATCTCTACTCGGAACGAATCTAATGTGAGCTGTCCTCCAATGCTCAATTTAACAGTTTAGTCAGTCAGTCAGTCAGATGCAACGTAGAACTTCGTATGTAAGTACATCAGTTCATATTGCCATACCACAATCAGCACAGAGATGTAATTGTCAATTCAAATCCAATAGTAGAAGAGGTAGTAAAGGTAGTAGAGGTAATCGGAGAGGATTAGAACATATTATTCAAGAAGTATGATTTAATGAGAAAAGTTTAGAAAGTCAAAACTACAGTTGTTGAAGAATCCAGAAGATTAGGATTTGAGAGAACACAGAGAATAAATGCACCGGCGCCATTGCGAACGACTTTGAGCCATGTCATTCAAGGTCTCTAACCATCGATTATTATCATCTCGCGGACCCCAACCAGGTAGTTGACAACTACCGACATGGCTAAGTCCACTCGTCAATGACTTCATGGATTTGTGCCATGTTTTGGTTTGGCCGCCCGTAGCTTTCTTCCAACCTATTCCTACACTACAAAACAAATCTCGTCGAGGCAATCAGTGGTTAGGCATACGCAGCACATGTCCCAACCACCTCAACTGATGAAGTTTCATTACTTCATCTATTGATCTGCCATTCTTACCTAGCACCCGATTCCTAATAACAGCGTTGCTCACTCGAGTGTCCCAGGATATACGAGCAATGCTTCGAAGACATCTATGATCGAAAACCAATAACCGACGAGTATCTTCTACTCTCACTGGCTATGTTTTACAGCCATAAAGTAAAGCAGTTTAGTCCATCATAAGAATTCTGTAAACAAAAAATCCTAATCATAACTATCGTTAACGAGGTGTATAGATAGAATAGTTGAATCTATTAGGATAATAATTGATAGTCAAATTATTAAACAGAATAGTTATAATTTGAATAATGAAGATTTTTAGCAAACTATCTTTTAATAACTAGAAAACATTAATCTTTTCAGAAAAGGAATGAATACTTATAGGTGATTTTCCTCATAACTTGCATTTTTATTTCTCATCTAGTTCGCTTTTCTACGTTTTGTTATACTACTTACTTAATATTCAGTAATTTGTATCAATGTTATTCATTTTATGAAGGTAGAGTCTATGATGGCTGTTTCTTATAGTAAGTAGAATTCTTAAGTATTTTCTTGATGCTCTGAATAGTTTCTCTTGATAGTATATGCTTTTATCAGGCATTCGTGTTCGCCAAAAAATTTCCTCAGTATTGACTTTAACAGACATGAATGTAATTCAGTTTTTTTCGACACCTTCCCGAACCGTAGCTGTTAACCGTGACGTGATGGTCAGGTTTCCCTAGCGTGATGAATTAATCATGTTCTTTGAGGACCTACCATGATAGATAGGTTGGTTGGATGACGGAAAAATCGTACTGCTGATTTTATATGGGTACGACATCACTATTTCCACACAGACAAACAGCATCTGTTACGATGCTCTATTCTAACAACGAAAGGAAAGGGTTAGATTTCGTCTGCCGCGTTAGGGTCTAGTGAAGATATTCCCATAAAAATGCTTTGCGTGGACAACCTAGATACTACACATGATCTTAGCTCAGAGAGCCGAGAAGCCCAGTGGTCCGATGGTAAGGCGTTCGCCTACAATGCCAAAGGTTCCGGGTTCGAATCCTGCGAGGAGCAGGAGTCGTGGATGCGCACTGCTGAGTCCCATACCAGGACGAAACGGCCGTCCGGTGCTTCCAGGTTTCTAAAAATGCTTTGCGTGAACAACCTCAAACAGCTGTCTCTTAAACTCTTCGATCACACTCAAACGTCACTAATTTCGACACTAATCCAGTTATTTTTTTCAAGCCTTTTAAGAATATCCTCCCATAGCGTGGGAAACCATAAAGCGACAACTTCCGTCATACTTCTAACAGCCCACGAGATCATCTTGCTTAAGATTGAATCTCACCACAAACTATTAACAACTTTCTTATCTCCACGATCAACCATTCTCGTATACTTATATAAGCAAATATCGTCAAACCTGATGATTCAGATTCACGAAATGTTGTTCGTGATCTCCTGAAACTACACTTTAAACTACAATTTGGGGCTTTTCATGTTCGAACCTTCTGTCATATAGAACAACAGGCTTTCTTAGCTAGGACTCTAGAATCGCATGCAATCGATATATGCTGCTTCTTCGAAACGCTCATACAGGGTCCAAGTACAGTCATTCACTTGACCTCATCTAGTCAAAATAAAGAACCCGTACAATTTACTTTCCAATATCTGGAGACCACACTGCTACTTCTCATGACGTTTCTAGTGTAGGTATAGCATTAGGCCCAAAAGTAGAACATATTTTCCCACACTGGACCTCAGTAGACAGTCGCTTGTGCATTGTCCGATTAAACATGAGAGCAAGGCTCTGTCTATGCACCCATTGATTGTAGTTCAGATAATTTGAAACGAATTTCACAGGAAAATTCCCAAGCTATTTCAAAAAGATACACGGTCCAAGGTAGTAATAATAACTAGGTTAGGTAAAATCAGTGGATTCAGGTCCATCTACCGAACTGAAAGATGATCAGAAACTTATCTTGTCTGGCTCTGAAAACGACGAGGAGCGGATATAGTCTAAAAACAGGCCGATAAAAAGCCTACGCAATGATCGTAAGCAGTGGTGGGTAGCGAAAGTAAAATAGATAGAGAAGGTAGTGGCGACAGGTGACGGCAGACAACTGTTCAAACTTACTAAGGAAATGGATATCAGAAATCCTACTGTTACCGACACTATCTCGGAAAAAGATGGCACTACTAAACACTCTCAACTCAGGAGATGGAACCGATAGGCAGAACACATAGACAGAAGTCCTCTTGTGACAATCACAAAGGAATCAGTCTAACTAATATAATGTCTAAAGTATTACTTTCAATAATACCTCCACGCCTAACGAGAGATCGTGAAGTGCAAACTCGAGAAAACCAGTCAGGTTTCATACCTAGCTTTCGATGTGTAGATCAAGTATTTAAACTTCGGCAGCGGACGCTTGACTCCGTTAATCATGAAGCTCTGTAGCAATGTCCATCATTGAAAGACATACCAAAAAAGCACACTAACCTCTTGTAGGCTCTCTATTCGAACACTACTAGTCCAATTAGAGCTCATAACAAACTGTCATCGAAATCGACGACTTCTTGTTCGTCAGAACTGTCTGCTTTCCCTATTTTTACTCAACTTTGCTACAGACATTGCTTTCAGCGTTAACACTTTCGCTATCTGATTTCTCAGGGGTCACAATTTACCAAGAGACCCGATCGTTAACTTACAATATGTAGATGACATAATTTTGTCTCATAGAAACTCTGACAAATTGCAGTCTTCTGACCATCTTAGGCAACAGGGCGAAGTTTTGCTTCAGGATTGGCTTGCCTCGGTGAATAAGTTAGTGGTAGAGAGTAAAGCAACTGAGCGTGTCGACTGATTCACTAATCTTGGGAGTCTCATCAGTCCTGATGGTCTGGCGTCTGACGAAATTTCAGCGCGGATCCAGAAGGCTCGATCGACCTTCGCCAAATTGTATCACTTGAGGTGTAGGTGAGAGTATCCGTTTATTAACCAAAGGACGAGTTTAGTGCGCAGCAGTTAGCTCGGTTATATCTTATGGGTGTGAAATATGGTAATCGAGAACAGAGGGTATTATTAGGTTACTAGTAGTCTATCATAGATGTCTTCAAAGCATTGTTCGAATATCTTGGGACCACCAAATAAACAATGCTGGTGTTAGGAAAAGAGTACTAGATAAGGATTGCACATTAACAGATGTAGTAGTGAATGTTCATTAGTTAAGGTGGTTGGGGCATGTGTCACATATGCCCAACAATCGACTGCCTTGACGAGTTATGTTCAGTGGTTTAGGAGTAGGCTGGAAGATGTAAGTACATACCAAGTCCCATGTTTCAATTGACTGACCGATTCACGTCATCTCTGATAACAATATGTGATGTAGTTTATAAAATTTAATTACTGAAGCGTTTCAAGTATGCAACAGTCCAAAAAACAATCAAAAGAATAGTGGATTGATGATTTCAATGACAGTCATATATACACCAAAAATAACAATGCCAGTGAGCAAATAATTCGGTCAGTCAGCTACAATGTACAGCTTCATAAGTAGATACGTACATCAGTTCAAGTTGCCATATCACATTAGCACAGAGACGTAATTTTCAACTTAAATCCCATAATAATAGAGACAGTAGAAGTATTAGAGATAATGGAGAAGATTAGAATTCGAAAACATTATTCAAGAAGTATAATCAAGTGAAATAAATTTCAAAACAGTATTCAAATATTACTGTGGTGCGCGCTACTTATAAGTAGTATATGACGCGAGTAAAAACGTAATGTCTGGCAGCAGAAGATGGGAGGAAGATCAAGAAAGGAAGAAGAGCGGGAACACAATGGGATTTGTATGAAACGCATGAACAGTGGTGAAATGTCAGACTGGATCGATGTTGTTTACAACAGGAACAGTCCAGTTCGATATGATGGATTGATATTTGGCAAATTAACGATTTACGATATGGTTTTTCTATTTTAACAATTAACTCTGTAATTTAAGACAAATACGATTCGGTTGCCTTCACCTGTGTTCTCTTTCACTACATTACGACAATAAAGTTACAATAAATTTCTTATTTCATACATAAGACGAAAAGTTACAACTGCTACAAAAATCTTGAACCCAATTTTGTTGCTTCAAGATTGGGTTTCATTGGCACCTGAACTAGTGACAGGGAGTGAAGTAGTCGAACGTGTAGAACGCTTCACTTATCTTGGGAGTCTCATCAGTGCCGATGGCCTGGTGACTGACGAAATCTCAGCTCGGATACAGAAGGCTCGATTGGCTTTTGCCAACCTGCGTCACTTATGGCGTAGGCGAGATATCCGTTCGCTGACTAAAGGACGAGTGTACTGTGCAGTGGTTCGCTCCGTCTTACTTTATGGCTGTGAAACATGGCCAGTGAGAGTAGAAGATATTCGTAGGTTACTGGTTTTCGATCATAGGTGTCTTCAAAGCATTGCTCGTATATCCTGGAACACCCGAGTGAACAACGCTGTTATTAGGAATCGGGTGCTAGGTAAGAATGGCAGATCATGAGATGAGGTGATGAAACTTCATCAGTTGAGGTGGTTGGGACATGTATTGCGTATGCCTAACCATCGACTGCCTCGACGAGCTTTGTTTTGTAGTGTAGGAATAGGTTGGAAGAAAGCTAGGGGCGGCCAAACCAAAACATGGCAGAAATCCATCAAGTCATTGACGAGTGGACTTAGCCATGTCGATAATTGTCGACTACCTGGTTGGGGTCCGCGAGATGATAATAATCGATGGTTAGAGACCCTGAATGACATGGCTCAAAATCGTTCGCAATGGCGCCGGTGCATTTATTCTTTGTGTTCTCTCAAATCCTAATCTTCTGGGTTCTTCAACATCTCTAGTTTTGACTTTCTAAACTTTTCTCACTGAATCATATTTCTTGAATAATATCTTCTAATCCTAACCTCTCCGATTACTTCTAATACCTTTACTACCTCTTCTACTATGGGATTTGAATTGACAATTACATCTCTGTGTGCTGATGTGGTATGGCAACATGAACTGATGTACTTACGTACGAAGTTCTACGTTGCATCTGACTGACTGACTGACTGCTACAAAAATCCCTGATAACACTAAACTTAATGAAACAATCAAATTTGCTATCATAAAATTAAATTAAAACGTACACGATGACTAGTGTCTACAAAAAATATTGATCCAGGAAGCAATAAAGGGCCGTATTCCTGATCTAAAAAAAATTCAGAAAATACAATGTGACAGTACCTTTGCTTCCAAATCTCCTAGCCATTTGTTCATTGAGTTCGGATAAAATCAGTGTATCTGAATAATTTCTCAAGTTTTGAACATTTGATGTTGTAACAGGTACATGTACCTTGTGAAATAATTTGAGTCAATAAATACAAACTTACAATACAATCATCAGAGTTCCTGAATGTTAAAAACAAGTTGTTTGGTTGCTCTGTATGATTCCACGGTAATAATATGTCACTTAACGATGTCATTTGATTAGGTAAGCCTAAAAAGCAAAATCAATAAGCTAGACAAATCGTTACAAAAAAGATACTTGAAATTATACACGAATTCTCGTATGATAAATAATTAAACAAAATTATAACTGACCAACAAGAAGAGAATTATTATGAACATACATTTTAGAATTTAGTTTATCTTTAATTAAAATTACTAGTGTAATTAATGGAGTACTGATAATCCTATTTTTTCACACCAAAGTTTTCCAATAGTATTAGGAAAAGAATTTCACTGAATCGAGTAAAAATATTGTGCAGTACTAAGAGAGCCACATAGTTCTGGAAGATAAGCCTACCTTAACGGTATAGCATTCACAGGAAATATAATGAAACTATGGTTAAATAAATTACATAACTATACACTGTAAATCAGTAAAAGGATATTTCCAAACAAATATTATTAGCATCTAAACAAAATCAAGCAAGTTCCGGACTGCGAAAAATTTAAAAAGACACGACAGAATCAAATAACGAACAACTAGATATAGAAACCAGATACTATGCATTGACGCTTTGTTAATTATTCTTATGAACCAAATACTTATTTCATCTATTAAATCGTATAAGTACATCATTCCAAGTCTATCTCACGGATACGAAAGATTGAATACCACACTTGAGTTCAAAATAAGAGGAAAACAGTGAACTAGCCAAGAGCACTAGGTAACGTCGAACTTGTATATTTGCGTATAGTGTCCAACGTCCAATATGTGCAACCTCGACCTACCTCGACAGTACTGATGAACTGTGTATTCATTGTGATTTTTGTCGGGATACTTATAATTATTCTTGTCCAATTGCTTATAGAAGATACAGAGTAGAACAATCCAGTTAACAATTCAAGTTATCAAGAAGTAACACAAAGACGTTTTCTCAATAACCTACAACGCGGAAGTAATGTTCTATCCTGTTTTTGAAAGACCCAGCAGTGAATAAAATTACTATATTTTGCTGGTTGGAACTGCGAAAATGTTTCCACGTGTTTTTGAAGAATATATTTTGTTCCTACTTTAGTGGATGTTTTCACGCCTTCGGCTCATTACCCAAACATATCAACAGTCTGTTCAGGTAAAGAGAACCTTGAATAACATAAAACACCACAATCATATCCCCCCTATCTTCCTGTACTTCACTGACTGTGTGCTAAGAGCTTTCGGAGAGGTGAGAAAGGATTATTTTCAGTTTTAATTTCTCCTCAGTGTATTAGGATTTAGGTCTAATCTATTAATAATGCACTTATCTATGCCACTGAGACTGTAAACCTACCCCATAATTTTAGACTTAGCATGATATGAATATCTAGACCGCAAGCTGCTTACTAGAACGGTCGGAAGTAAAACTGCAATTTTGGGAGTACTTTCAGGTTCTATTCTTTCATCGTTATATCTAAATGTTACTGTTTTCTTCCTTCTAAAACTCCTATCTCGCAAATTTTCCTCTTCCAATTGTCTCGTTCTTCCATATTTAAAATCACACATGTATCATGTTAAGTAATAAGACTGCTACCAATTTTTATACTATAACAACTAGGAAAACCAGTAGGGGTTTGAATGATGGGCATAGTAATGGGTCAAGAATCCCAGTATTGAGAGACAGAGTTTTTAAAAAGCTCAAAACGTCAATTGATAACAAACCTCGGTGAAATGATTACAATTCGGATCGTTTGACCTATACACTTTCTCTAGGTACCCAACAACCTTCCCATTCTTACTCCCAGAAAGAAGGAAAAAGGTGCTTGGAGGCTTGGTCGATACAGACTATCGTTCATGAATAGCAGAAGGATGACTGTGTCGCCTTCTCGATGCTAGTCAAAACCAGTGACTGCTTTTGAATGCAACTTCTATAGTACATGTCTCCGTTTTCTCTGCAACACTACAGTACCTAGTGAGTACTATGGGTTCATTCTGAGTCACCCCTATCCGTGGTTCTGGTATACCTGTCCACCGTGCAGAATAATTGAATCACGGAAAAAGTTAGCATCAGCGAAGCCACGTTCACCATACAAAATTAACTTAAAAGTCACAACGAATAAACCTAAATCGCCTGGCACAAAACAGTGAAACAGGCGACCAAGGCATCCGAAACCCAAACCAACACACCGGCAAAACTGCCGGCTGTTGTAAACCCCCGTAGCTATTACCAATAAGGAGCAGTGGGTTAGTGTAGAAACGATAAACGGCAATACCACAACCCTAAAATGTTACAAATCAGTGACAGGGGGGTTTGACTGAATTCGCTAATTTTATTTCATAATCCAGTGTTGTCGGATAGCTTACTTGAAGGTAGGGCTGTTGTTTATAAAGAACAGTCAGACAAGTACTGAGGAATCCTCAGGATCTGCAGTACCCCGGCCAAAATCTGCCATCGTTTCGACACCAGAACGTCGCGAAGGGGAAACCTCCTTTGATGAAGGTATTATTAGACTCGGCACAACTTGCCAAAGTCATCCTCCTCTCATTCCAAAGACCGGTTAAATTTTCCGTCCCGATTTTCATCAGGCCCGATAAACCGTAGTCGGTACGAGTAGCAGCAAGAATATCATGAGGCACTCAAGAGCAGACCATTATGGTAGTTCACGGTGTGCCCGAACTGGTTAGTGGCAGCATGGATGTAGCTCGCGCGCACGACGTGCAACAGTGACGAGGCCGATCATGTAGTCTTGGCCTTCACACCACCAAGGCAATTTGCATTTCCTGACTACCTCATGATCACGAAGTCACTACGTCTGTCGGCTGTGTAATTCAGTAGTCGGAAAGACCTAAATGAGGTGCGTCAGGGTCGACATGGTATGAAGAATGATTTCTATAACCACATTAGGTGCATCGAGGGCCGACCTAGATCTAAGGGACAACAGCAGGAAGGCCAAAATAAGAGCATGAAAATCATGGTTAATCTCGATCAACAACCACCGGCAAAAGAAACGAAGATGATAGTTACAGCCATTGAACGAAATGTGCAGGCAAAAAACCTGCAGAGGCCAGTTCGCAGACAACTGGCCAACTCGGTTTGAACAACTTGTTTGAAAATCCGACAACTTCTGTTGACGCAGAGGTGCTCCAGACGATTAGACAAATCACCGAGTGCCTCTATAGCAATGCGAGAGGAATGAGGGGTAAGCTGTTATAAATCGGGAATATTTGCTCTCAGATATATCTGAAGATCATAATCCTTACTGGAACATGACTATCCTTCAACAATGCAGACGACTAAGTGAGCTTACAAGGCATGACGAATTCCGATGCGATAGGGTACATCAGACAGGAGGCGGATTGGCTTCACATATTATCTGAAATTTGAAGGACTACCCCGCATTCAACTAATCGAAGTGAGAGAATCATGTTGGTATCGTTTCCGGGCAAATGTTACAAGATACTTGATCGGAGGGACTTACCGGCCCCCTCAGGTACTAAGACGCAGAAAGATGATGTAATACTACAACTGCCACCTCGTCGATCAAGTACTCCTAGCTGGAGATCTCAAAACACCATCTCTAAATCTCGGCAGCCAGGGTATAAGTCCCATTAGTTGGTTCCAGAGACGACTTGGCGCAGCCATTCGAAGCTCTGGGCTTGCTAAGCATGTATGCAGGGCTAATACATGGATTATGTAAGGGAAAATCCTCAAACCTGAATTACTTGTTAACAAGTGATCAGCTCCTGGTCGGCGATGTTCACGTCACCAATAAGAAGTAGTAATCGCGGCAAAGTCTCGTTCAACATGGTCATAAACGAAACACCTAGTCAGGACGAAGACGAACCCTATCTCACTACACTAGGGTGAAATACACGCGCATACAAGACAATCTTCCACATGCCTCATGGCCACTGGAATAGCAAAGGATTGCAGCAGATGGTCACTGGCAAACAGTGAGAGACATCATCCAGAATACTGTCCTAGACAATGTACCTCAGTCACACTACACACTCGGGAATAGACCACGGGTTAGGTGCGGCACTGAACACTTACTACAGGCAAGGAGGAGAGCCCGGCAGAAGTGAAAGTTCTCCTTGAAGGATTTCGACCGTATTTCAAACTTGGCATAGAGAAACCGATGTAATGCCAAAGTTCAAAGTAATAAGAGGCTCTTTCAGATTAAGCTAGCTGCCAAAATACAGGCGAACCCTCAGCATCTGTTTATGTTCATGACGAAAATGAAACCTACGAATGAGGTTTTTTGTTCCTCAAAGGTCGAGTGGAGAAGATCTCTCTCAACACAAACCTCACCGATCAGTTAAACCAGGCATCCACATGTTCAGAGTACTATGCAAACCCAGATCCTGCTAACGGCTCAGGGAATATCTGTATTACACCTGAATTAGTACTGAGGTAGCTGAAATCCCTGAGCTCAGATAAGTCACCAGGACGTCAAAGTATTCGCCCCATAGTCTTGAAACACTGTGTCGAAGCTCTCAGTTCACCGATATGTAACATATTCAGGCATTAACTGGAGTCTCACCAACTCCCAGCTGAATGGAAACAAGCTAAACTCTGTCCAATATTCAGAAGGCTAAAAAATATCCAGCCTGTTACAGACCATCTATATTTCTTACAATATAATCGAAGGTAATGGAAGTGCTGATGATAAGAATGGATATGAATAAAATACTGTAATTGGATTTTCTACCGTGGCAGTTCAATTCGATTCCAATAGACGTATGTCGGACGCACTTCCCGATTTTGAATATAAAAACACAATAATTCTAGGGGAAAATGGTCTATTAATAGATAATAAATGGAAATACAAACAATACCTAACAAATTTTACGCCTTCCAATTCAAAATTACTCTGAATGAGTATCGAGGTTCCGAAGTCTAGGTGAACTCCTATACTGCACGATATCAAATCCAAAAATGTGGCGGTAGCCATATTATATCAAATTTAAACAACATATGTACAGTTCAGAAGCAAACATAAAAACTTCAATATAAGTACAAAATATAGAAAGAATAACAATATACAATGATAAAATCTCAAATTGGAATCAAATAAAATACCAAAAATGTCAACAGAAAAAGTCCGTCATGTCATAACAAAAATATGTAATCA